TTTTTGGGTCTGTGTAGTATCTGGAGTTTTCAGCAGCAAGGAGAATGCACAGTCCCAAGTCTCGGTTGGAATCGGCATTTACGCCGGAATTACAGTCTTCAGCCTCACGGTCCACTGGGGCATATGCGTAATATTCGGAAGAAAAGGTCTGAAAGACAACAACAAATCAAATGAGAATGCTCAAACCTCAATCAGCTCAAACTGCTTGCCTGCAAAAGAAAAACTCATTATCCTCAAAGGTAACAAACACTAAGGTTCGAATAACGAACTAAAACGAACAATAGATGTTAATTATTCGCTAAGACTGTCGCATTTTCTTGTGTATAAATTTAAATTTCAGATACTGGTGTCGAAATCGATCAACACACTCGTTACACAGCTGGCATAATGTTGCTGTCTTTGATTCCTTACATCATAGTCCAGCTGGAAGATTTTATTCTCACCTCGTCTGGAGATCGCATCGTAACTTTGATAGCACTGACCGTGTCCGCCTTGTCATTGTTCTCGTATTTCGCCTATCAGGTAGACTTTATCGAAAGATGAAATAATCGATCAGTAGATAAAATTTTTTCGATAGCTGTTATTTGGTAAATGGAGTGTATAATTAAGTTACTATCTTACTATTGCCACAGGTTCTGTATCCATGGATGCAGCAAAGGAGTTTAGATTACTCAAAGTACGAAATTCTGCGTACCGGGTTTTTAAAGCACGTGCAGCGCCAGGGGAAGCTCGTCACCGAGGATGGCAAACTCAATATCTCTCTCATCCAAAAGTAAGACAAAAAATCGTATTGAACTTTCAATTTTCAAGATTTTCTAACATTCTTTCAACTTTATTTTACTTTTTTTTTCTTTCCAGGCTATTTGACGATGTGGATAAAGACAACAACCAGCGGATTGGGAAGGCCGAACTCGAGAGCTTGGTGCTCGACATCATCAAGACGGGTAAAGTCACGATCGACGAGGAATTCGCGCTCTCCCAAGTGATGGAAACGTTCGATTTTGACGCTGATGATAGCATTAACATTGATGAATTCACCCAAGGGTGCAAAAAGTGGATAGAAGAAAACAAGAAACCGTCCGGTGGAAGTAGTACTGACTCAACCTCGGGAAGTGTTTTTCACGAGGTGCATTTTTTGTAATTTGGTGTCTGCAAATGTTTCTGCATGGTAAATGAGCGGAAAAATTAGAGATTTAGTTACACCTAATTGAGAAATAGTCCGATGGTTGTCGATGATCTTACAAAACACCTTGTAGCTGCAAAAAA